TGGGAATACAATCGATCATAGACTGAGTTCGTTGACATTATAACGAGTTGTGAGGTTATTGCACGGTCATTTGATTAACTATTTGAGTATTTCAATGACAAGTAAAAATAGAAACTGGAACGAATCCGCACGGCGTTGATAATACGAGAAAAATGAAATAATTTCGATCAGCTACCTTGTTTGGCCGCCATCTTGAACTGTCGGCGAAAACGGCCGCAATTTTGGCATATTTCTCTCTCATTAACGCCTTTTCCGATCAACTTGCTATTTTTTATGCAACATGTATGAGCGAGTCATCGTCTGTTTACATTTTAGTGGGTACATAATAAGGCATACTCAGCCTCCAAACTTAGACTCGACGAAGCTAAACTTCAGGTTTAACTATTTTTTTAAGTTGAATGGAAAAATAGGAAAAAAAAGGTATATTCACCGGATTTTATTTTCACTAAATCTGCTCTTCAGCCAAAATAAAATCCAAATGAAAATTAAGTGTTTTACAGTATTGGGTTCAATAAACAGTTCCCATGAGTGGCGCTATCTATCGACGAACATCTTCACTGTCATCAATGTGACATAACGGTTGCACTGTCTTTGAATGGACAGTGCTGTTTGGTTGTTGGTCATCTGAATATAACGCATTTGAAAAATAATATAAATATTATTTATTGATAGACAGTGCATTATGCTCTGTGTCAACCTCCAATACGACCGAGGGAAATATTCTAATCCATCTATATGACGCCATTTCTATTCTTTTTTTGTAGGTCCAGGCCGATCTGGTGTACGCAGAATTTGAACAAGCAGCTTTCAGGAACGCTTCGAGATTCAATGTTAGTGCATTTTCGAGTGAAATGACGCCATTTCCTTTCTCTTTTGTAGGTCCAGGCCGATCTGGTGTACGCAGAATTTGAACAAGCAAGCAGCTTTCAGGAACGCTTCGAGATTCAATGTTAGTTCATTTTCGAGTGAAATGACGCCATTTCCTTTCTCTTTTGTAGGTCCAGGCCGATCTGGTGTACGCAGAAGTTGAACAAGCAGCTTTCAGGAACGCTTCGAGATTCAATGTTAGTGCATTTTCGAGTGAAATGACGCCATTTTCTTTCTCTTTTGTAGGTCCAGGCCGATCTGGTGTACGCAGAATTTGAACAAGCAAGCAGCTTTCAGGAACGCTTCGAGATTCAATGTTAGTGCATTTTCAAGTGAAATGATGCCATTTCCTTTCTCATTTGTAGGTCCAGGCCGATCTGGTGTACGCAGAATTTGAACAAGCAGCTTTCAGGAACGCTTCGAGATTCAATGTTAGTGCATTTTCGAATGAAATGACGCCATTTCCTTTCTCATTTGTAGGTCCAGGCCGATCTGGTGTACGCAGAATTTGAACAAGCAGCTTTCAGGAACGCTTCGAGATTCAACGTTAGTGCATTTTCGAGTGAAATTCAGCGACAGTTTCGACTTTTAATGTACATCGGTGACGCAGCCCTAGAAGACAAGTCCAAACTAAAAAGGGTAAATAATAATTCGACAGTCGTCTGCGCAGTGTGTCTAAAATTCTGTGATAAAAATGGCCGCCGAGATCTGATTGGCAGCGAATGAGTCACGTGATATGTGTTTGCCCTGAAATTAATGCTCCATTCACTTGCGACATCACGTCAAAAGTATTGTTACATATGTCAGGGAAACTATAGATGCGATTACGAAAACGAATTTAAGACTTTTCGAGAAGCAAAAACAGAACAAGTCTCGTGGGATCTTTCACTGTAAACGAGATCTTGTCGGCCATATGATTCTAAGAATTGTTGTCTATTGTCTTTATAAATAAAAAGAATTGATCATTACGAATATGCATTTTATGGAAACCATATGTGTATTTGTCGGCGGTGCATGGCGGGTAACAGGGCACTTCACTGTGGCTCTAAACGATACTTTTTCACACACCGTCACATGAGCGCTTCACCGCTAGAGGGCGCGACTTAATAAAAATATGATGTTCATTTCAGCTGCAAGATGTGAAAGCGGAACTGCAGCGATTGTACGCAACAACAATGGTTTGTGGCAAACCGGGAGACGAAGATCAATCAAAGTGTTACAGTTTCGATCCTGGTAAGTACTTCCGGTTCATAGTTACCCCCTAAGCATGCCGATGATTACGTCACAAGATTTTTGAGGAAACATGTTTGAATAACAAAATCACAAATTGTAACTAATTGTGGAAATTATGTACATTTTCTCCAAAATTAACAAAGAAATTAATAATTCATGAAAAAATATGCAAAATATTGCACAAACATGTTGGCAGGGAGAAAAAATAATAGTCGCCTTTTTTGTTTTACTTAGACATAGCTGAGCTGTTTGCCACAAGCAGGGACTACAGTGAGCTGGCATGGGCGTGGGTCGGCTGGCACAACGCTTCGGGTCTACCCCTGAAAGAACTGTATTCGGAATTTGTGGAACTGAACACGTTAGCCATAGAAGCCAATGGTGAGTAAGTCACGTAGTGAAAACATTCTCACAGTTTCCAGACACCGTGGAGTATAACTAAGCGTGTACTACTGTGAGTTTCCGAAGGCATGGATTTGTTTTTTTTATGAACTATTTATAAATTTTATAAGTTTCAAAAGACGTTGGAGAACAAATTGTAAGCGTTTGGGATGCATATCTGTACCGGCCAATGCTGGAGGAAACCCACACAAAGCCGTGAGTATTTGGCGGTACCAAACTGCATTCAACAGACAATTTAAACTTCCTCTCTGGGTTTAATTTTACGTAGTAAATATTTTATAAATACTTTTTAAATTTTCGTAAAATCTATCCATGCTCTAATGAAAGTCTTAGTACAGGGTTTCAGAAAAGCCGTTAACAGAATTGACGGTTTATAAACATGACATGGCATGGCTGTTTTCAACAATCGATTCACGATCTATATAATCCACACAGGCTCAACAAAGTCCATAATCGGATTTACACGAGATATTGTTTTCACGGAAATGTGTAATTTTTTTGAAGAGCGTTGTCCGTAACGTATTTACGGTTGTTCACAATATTTTTGTTTGAACAATATTTGTTATAACACGGGCAATGACAATTAAGACCTGTTTTTTTTTTGTCTATTTAGAGTAGAAATAAGTGTACAAGTAAAATCAACCTTATTTCCAATTTAGTTACTTTTAATATCCCTATAATTTTCAGATATGCAATGCTTACATGTATTACATATCTGGAAATCTGAATTTCTAATATAGATGGCGCCCATCACAAAATGGGTGGAGTACCCTGTAGTATAGTATACGCATGATCGCTTCTTCGGTGTTGCAATTAATTTCTCCAATGTGCTAATGTGAGATTGGCCGACTTCTTGTTATGTATGTTATTGTCTGTTATTCTAAATAATTCAATTGATATTCTCTAGTCGCGAGGCAGTTTGGATTTCTATTTCTAAAAATGAGTTCAAATACGCGCTGTGAACTTGAAGATCAACGTTTATTTTTGATGTCGATTGCGTCATCGGGGCGGCTGCACTGTATGTGCGTACTAATGATGATACAAACTGAATGTTTCCACGACACCGTACACGTACCTTTCAATATATAACCGCAAAAAAATAAATAAAACGATTGAAAATTAGCAGAAAACTTATCTATATGCAATTACTCCCATGGTATCACATACTTCAGACACTCTTTGTTTAATTACAAAATTATTCAATTCCGACGAATAATTATACCGAAGGAACTAGATATTACGATCAAAGCAACTAACTAGTTCGACTAAATGAACTAATAAACTACCGACTCTGACTAATACTGCACAC